TGGTTTGCGACACCTGGTTGCAACCACCTTTGCGACCACTTTGGTTTCCTTTTTTGGATTGCGACATGGAACACTAAAGGATGCCTTGGGTCCTGGTTTAGTTAGCAATGATATTTGAAGTAATATAAGCACCAATTTTGAAGCCATGATAACGTGACATATTAACAAAATGAATTGTAGAGAAAATAATCTTATGCAATGTAAAAATTATAATAACCAATAATAAAAAATAAATAAGAGTACAATTTATAATATTACAACCAAAAATCAAAGTAATAAATTAAGCCATAAGAGCTAAAGAGCAAATACAGCCTTATTGCTATTTAAAATAAAATAAAAATTGACAGTTAATATGTTTTCAAAAATAATGACATTGACTGTAATGATAGTAATGATGAAAATACTTACACCCTTACTTATTATTTAAATAAAACAAAAACCAATCAATAGTTAGTATGTTTTCAAAAACAATGATATTGGCCTTAATAATAGTAAATTATGAAATTAGTATTTTTCAAAAACAATGATATCGAATTTTATTGCAATAGTAACATAATAATAAGTGAAATAACTCGCTTTTCCAAATAATTGTTATCAATTGGACTTGCTAAGCAAAGATAGCCCAAAAGAGAAGAGAAATATTGAATTTCATTTTGATTTGTTCAGTTAATTCTTAGAGAATTTTGATTTTTTCCAAATTGTATGCAGTTAAGGAATTTATAAAAAATTTATAGTAAACCAGTTATTTTAGAATTTTGGTTATTCTTCGCAATCACAGAGAAATTGATTGTTGATCATGAATGGGCTGTGTGTCGTATATCATACATAAAGTGAATAATATAACAACAACAACAACAAAGAACAAAGAAAAAAGAAAAAAGAAAAAAATACAAACGGCTGTTTGCTTTTAGGCGCGTATCGAAGATAAGAAAACATTCGGAATTCGCGATAAACGAAAAGGATCGACATCATTATAAGAAAATTGATTAATACTCTATCGTTTTTTAATTGTAGAATGACAAAACGTCCCACTTTAATTATAAATCTTGTTGCATATAAAAATGATCCTAACTTTGAAGCCTTATAACCAATAACATGAAACAAACAAATTGATAAAAATGGAGTTTAGCTTTAATTCTATCGGTTTACTTTTTTTTTCTTTTAAATGAGGGGTTATAAGCTTTTAAAGTTATGTGCTAATCATTGACCGTTAGATCTCCTGCTCTATACATACTTTTTTTATTCAAAAACATTTCAATAAGAAAACGCTATTGTATGTCAACATAATGACAAAAAAAGGGCGCCATTGATTTTTTTTAAATTTTCACGTGACAAAAGATGATTGATATCTTATTGGTTAATCTTATCATTCAATTTCTAATAAAATTTTTTTTTAAAAAATTTTTTTTAAATAGCGAGTTAATTTTTTGAAACAGACTAATCAATTAATTTAATAAATAAATATCAAACATGGTGGTATGTATTAATAATTTCTGGAAGAATTAATAACTTAAATTGTTTTATGATATTTATATTATTTATTTTTTAGAAAAAGCCTGCCACCAATGAAACCACCAAAACTTCTACTACTACAACAAATCCTATGAAGGAACTTCGAATTGAAAAATTAGTTTTAAACATCTGTGTTGGCGAATCTGGAGATAGATTAACACGTGCTTCAAAAGTGCTTGAACAACTTACTGGACAATCGCCGGTCTATTCTAAAGCAAGATATACTGTTAGATCTTTTGGAATTAGACGTAATGAAAAAATTGCCGTTCATGTGACAGTTAGAGGTCCAAAAGCCGAAGAAATTTTGGAAAGAGGATTAAAAGTTAAGGAATATGAATTGAAAAAAAGTAATTTTTCACAAACTGGAAATTTTGGTTTTGGCATTCAAGAACATATTGATTTGGGTATCAAATATGATCCTTCAATTGGTATTTATGGAATGGATTTTTATGTGGTAATGGGCAGACCTGGTAATAGAGTTTCAAAAAGAAGAAGAGCACAAACAAAAGTTGGATCTTCACATAAAGTAAACAAAGACGAGTCTATTAAATGGTTTAAACAAAGAGTATGTATAATTTATAATTTCACTTATATTTTGTATATATCTTAACCAATTAATCGAATATTTTTATTTATTTTACTTTAGTTTGATGGTATTGTAATCATGCATCGTTAAAAAAATTTATTTAAAATAAAATTATGGTTTTTATTTTTAATTGCTTCTTGAAAATAATTTGAAAATCCACTATATAATAAATAAAAAACATTATAAATAATAACAGTAGAAACTGAATACATATACATATATATATATCATATATATTATTATTATTGTTATCTTTTTGTAGAAAAAATGCCTTATCCAATTATTATTATCTTTACATAACATACATAAATATTAGTTGAGATAAAATGTGTTTTCTTACATAATAGGTAATGCAAATGAAGGAAAAAAATAATTAAATATTTGTTTATTGATGAATAAAAATTAAATTATAAATAAATTTAAAAATATGCTAAAAAATATATATTAATTATAAACAATGAAAATATTATATAAAATAAAAAAAGTCCAATAAATTAATAATTAGTAACTAAAGATCTAATTTCATAAATATTCTATTTTGTCATAAAAAATAAATAAAAAAACAAACAAAAATTAATTGATTACCTTCATATTCATATATATATAATATAAATATAAACAAATATACAGATTAAAATTAAAGTATTAAATATAAAGAATTTTTCCAATTAAAAAATATTTATTTTTTTGTAGGTTGTGAATATACCAGTTCAAAAATAAATTGTACATCGTTTCCAGGGCTTTGCATAACAGCATGAATTGCATCTCTACCAGAAAAATTGTCGTTTAAACATCTCATATTTTTTCCTGGAATAACTTGAACCATTTTACTCTATTTTAAATATAGAGTATATATTAAAGTGCAATAAAAAGTCAGTTATTTTAAAGATAAAAACATCAAAATTAATCAATTATTTCGTATACTTACTAGTTCGATATCCCAAATCTCAATGAATAACGAGTTGAATCCAATGATATAGGGATAATGCATTGCTAATTTTTATGATTATAAATATTACTATTATTAATTATTAAAAATCAATAATTTAACTAGTCGTTCACTTACCAACTGATTCTGGTTTACCCTCCCAATTAACAACTCTATCTCGCGATAATTCACCATATTTATTAACATAAAAAAATAATGCTATAATTCCAAAAAAAAAATTTTATTAAAGATTTTCATTGTAAAATATTATACATAAATCAAAAATATAATCATTTTTAAGAAATGTATATATTACCTTCATAACATAATAAAAACTCATCAGCATTGATTCTAAAAATACCTAAAGGTTTGGATCCTTCACATTGTTTTCCAATAGATGCTGTTTGTGTTTGATTAAATTTTGGTATAGTGTTGATATTGTGCAATGCTGCTAAATCAACAATTTCAAATCCACGTGCACATATAATACATAATTTTGTTCTCAAAAAACATACATTGTAAGAATCTGATGAAACATAGAATTCCTATATTTGTAAAATTTTTTAAAAGTTTTTTCTTTAAGATACTAATCCATAAGACTACCTTAAATTATTTTGATAATGAATTATTTCAGCTAGATACTTACTTTATAATCTTTAAACCAATCATTTTTTTGGATAAAACCAAAACCCCTTCGTGATGTAGCACGTCCTTTCTCATTATTTGCATTTAGAGAATGCACCACTTCCCACGCATTAAAATAACTATCTAACCCTTTCCTTTTCATTGACACAACTAATGTCTTATCTTTTATGGTACCAACACTAAAATATTGAACACTACTACTATGGCTAAGACGTTGTTTAGAATTTGCAGAGCTGTTTGGAATATTAGTTTTAAATGATGGCAGCAAAGCTTCTAATGAATAAGCCCACAACACTTTCTCTTTAAAATAAAAAAAGAAATGGAATACAATTTATAATAATGTTAAAAATACTACCATTGAATCACTTAATAAATAATATCTAAAAAAGATAATCATACTAACTAACCTATTAATAAAACTATCAGTCCATAATCATGTATAACTGAAATTTGTTTTATAGTACCAGTTTGTGCAACCTTTCTAAAAGATTTAGAATTTCCTTTTAATCCTATCCATAATCCTTCCTCTGTACCAACTGCAATCATTTGAAGTTTCTCAGGGGTAACTGTAAATAATACAAAATCAAATAAATAAACCATTTTTATTATATATAAACGGCTAGTCAGTTATATTTAATGAGCTTTACCAAAAGGCGCAGAGCAAGTAACTTTTCCTCTAGATAATGTGTCTGATAATGAACTTTCTTGAGTTCCAGCTAGAATATTTGTGAAAGTCGAATCATTTATAGGTACCATTTGGAATATTTGTTGTGAAGTTTGCTTTAAAATACTTTGTGCTTCTATGATTTTATCTTTCCAAGTCTTTCGTGAATATGCCGAATCTGTAACTAATTGATAACTTCCTCCATTTCTACCAACATGAATGATTGTAAAGGGATATGATTTGTTTGTGTGTGGATTTTCAGGAAGCTCAGAATTCGCTCCACTTGCACGGCCAACTTGGTTTCTTGATATATCATTGCTTTTCCTTCTACCTTTTCCTTCAAAAACTCCAAGATATTGAAGCGTCCCTGTTTTTGTTGTACCACTAACTTCTGAAGGTAAATCAAAAACTAACAAATTTAAAGGTATTGGCTTTTTTTTTTTTTTTAAAAAAAAAAGGAATATTTAATACAATAAATTTTCAAAAGTTTTTAAATAAAAATAAAAATTTTTATAGCTTACATTATATTTTACAATATACTTTTCAATAGTATCGCCGTTGCCTTTTTTTGGTTTAGTTATAACCAAATAATTATCGAAAAGAAACACATGAAGCTCCTTTAATTCAATAGTATTAGATTTCTTTTGTAAGTATCCTTTATGTAATAATTGTCTTTCGCTATTTAATAAATCAAGTTCATTCTATAAAAAAACAAGATGTATATATAAAATTAATTGGATTATCTGAATTTATTTATAATGCTTTTTTTTTTTAAAAAAAAAAAAAGGAATTTCTCATACACAATTCTCGTTATTCTTTCTTCTTAATTTCTGATTAATATCGATAAGCTTTAGTTTAGCTTCAGCAAGATGAACTCTGTTGTCACTTTCTCTGCAAAGATTTTTGATGAAATCTAAAGATTTTTTAAGAACTTCTTTATCTGGATTATCGTCTGAAGTATACTTTATAACTTGTTCAAGTAATAAAGTATATCTTTGCAAACGTGTAGTAGGACGTTGTAAAAAATGCCTAAAATCCAACTTTCTTGCTTCGGGATTGCGTGAACAATGCTATTGTACGCAATAAATATAAAAGATTAGAAATGTGATATATATATATATATATATATATATTAAAAGACCCCCTTCTAACTTTTAATTTAAATGGTAATATTTTAAAATTGTCAGAAAAATTTGTTTGCTCATTTATTTTCTTTTTTTTAAAAAACTATAACTAGAATCATTCATTACCTCTAAAAATTGTTTAAATTCTGGACTCCGTTGTTTCCTTGTTTTGACAAGAGCATCTGCAATGGGGAAATTTCCATTATAATTTACATAAGAATCTCCAAATTGCTGTGCAGATTCCAAAAATATGTCACCGATTTTTTCTACTATTTGACTTTCTTTTTGTCTACTCTTTAGACGTTCACACATCACTTTATTAAAATCACGAATATTGGTAACATTAAAAAAAATCTTCTGAATAAATAATTCAAGTTCCGAACTTGATATAATAGGTGGCTTGGCTTCACGAAGACCTTTAATAAAAAGCTATTTATGATAATAAACAAATATCTCTTAAGAAATTGGTAAATAAATAAATAAATATGTATATAACACATATATGTTAATATATATGTACCACTTACAGTTTCTAATAGATCTAAATCTTTAACATAATCTTCTTCAGTATAAATTGTCTCGTAAATAATTTCTTGTCGTTTTTTTTCATCTTTAGAAACACTATCAGATACTTCTTTTGGAACTGACTCAATCCATGTAAGTTGTTTTTGTTGTTGCGCCTGTTAAGATTTCATTCATTAAAAAAATGGAACAATAATAAAATATTTTAAATTTATTTTTTCCATACTTACCGAAGTATCCATAATTTCTGAAGGAGATGGGATGCTAGTTTTTTCAATAACAGGGGGAGCTATTTCATTCTAAGTAAAAACATTAAAAGTCAAGACTTAATAATACGTTTAATGGTTTGTAAATTATATTATAATTGATAATACCTCTCCAGGAACATAATTATTGCATATTCTTGAATAACAGCCTTTACCCTTTAATCCACAAGTAGGACTATAGCATTTTGTAACAAGAGGGAAAACTCCTTTTGGAAAATCTTCGTCTGTTTCCCAATTAAGTGCCAATGACTCATTATTAAGAAATGCATAGACTTCTTTGTCTGTGTCTCTAACCACTGTAATAGGATTCCAGTTTACTGAATGGAAAAAACTTTGCGCTACTAATGAACATGCCATGTAAATTGCAAAATGTCGTGGAGTCTTAGGAGGAAGGAAGGAATGCACAGTGCTCTAAAATAATAAACAATTTATTTGTTATTAAATGAATCAATTATGTATATATATATATATAGCTTAATAAATTTTTAAATTGAACATTACCACTGCATCAGCGCCGGTAAAACTGTCAGGATATTCTAAAGCACCTTTAGCATGAGTGCCCAATTTAATTGTAAAACGTAATGCTATAGCTATATTTGATAAAAGCGCAGGATTCATTGAACCTTTCAAAAAGCTCATGTAAGATTTATTAGCAATTCTTGAGGAACCTGATGAAGTGACTCTACCACTATTAGGATAGGTATTCTGCGAGAACATTAATAAATAAGGTCGTTAATAATTTGAAGTTGAAGCCTTTTTTTTAAAAATAATAAAGAAAGAAAGAAAATATTTATAAATAAAATTTAACCTTCAAATGAATGGAATAATGTGGAGTATATTGTTTTGACACTGGTGCTGCCGGCAATTGTTGGTTATTCTTATGACCACCGTTGAGTTGACCACTAGTAACAGACGTTGGCATGTTTATTCCAGTATTTACAGGTAAATCAGAATTTTCGTAATAATTATAATCATAAGATGCTGGACGGGACATATTTGAAGGATATTCTGGATATTCTGGATGTGTAGCAAGATTTTGCTGATTAGGGTGTTGTTGAGATGGTTGTTGATATGGTTGTTGATACGGTTGTTGATACGGTTGTTGATATGGTTGTTGATAAGAAGGCTGTTGATAAGGAGACTGTTGATAAGGTTGTTGATAAGGCTGTTGATAAGAAGGCATTTTATAATTATAATAATTCTGATGATGGTCTGTTTGTTGATAATTTTGTTGATAATTTTGTTGATAATTTATTTGTGGATGACTATGATTAGAAGTCTGATCAAAAGTTGGTTGAACAGTTGGTTGATAAATTGAATGTTGATTTGGATATGGTGGATAGTCTAAATAATTTTTAAGAATTAATCATTTTTTTTTTTTTACAAAATTAGATTTCCGAAGTTAAATGAATAATTATCGTTAAAAAGAACTTTAACTTACTATTATTATAATTAGTTGTACTATTTGGTCCATAATTGTGATATGCACTTGGAATTTGTGGATTATATGGTACAGTACTTGAAGTAGGACATGAAGGATATGGATAACTTATATGTGCATTAGCTGGATAGTTAGATCGGTATTGATGAGAATTGTTATTTGGTGATGCAGTGAAATTATTGGGTGAAATCGCAAGCTCTGAATCGATTAAATCAACCAATTGATTTATTTCATTTGCAGCATTATTACTTCTTGGATTCTGTTCTCTATTTGTAGATCTATGATGAGTAATCTCGTGTGAACTATGAGACATTTTTATTGCTATTGCTCTTTTGGATTTATGATTAACGCAATTTTTTCTCGATTATTCAACTTATTATTGTCAGGACAGTGCAAAAATTAAACCTTGGCTAATTATTAAAAAGGAAAAAGAAAATAGAACGGTAAATTTTTGGGTTGGGCACTTGAATTCAAAATTAGAATATAAAATTTAAATAAGGTAGTACGAATTACGCCAGTGTATAAAAAATTTAGTATGCGAATTGTCAGGTGCTAACAAATTTGGTAATTATTTTCAAAAATCAGCCGATTTTCCCTAATTTGGTTAGAACCGGCAATTCCGCATACTGAATATTTAATATTAATAATATACGCAAATATGATGATAGTTTTTATTTTTTTTTTTTTTTTTTATAAATAACTAAAAGCCTAACTAATTTTAGAATCAATTGAATTACGTTTTATTGTTGATTGTTATTATTAAAAGGACGAATCCTTACCTCGATCACCTAAAACACTATATTACTGCATAATTCTCTGCTGAAGGTTTATTTTTAAAAAAGAAGAATCATTATTATTACTATATCGAACAAAAAAGCAGCGAATACAAAGCCCTCCTCCAAGAAAACTTTGTCGGGGGGTGCCAAGACCCAAAAGGCTCTGGTGGCCATTGTTTTAGCGATTTAAAGATTTTCAGTTCAAATCCTTGTTTTGATTGACGACGTATATAGTATAAAGATAACCTTCCGTTACTAGTGTCACCAGATTTTTCTATTATTGGTTCAATGGCTTACAAGTGGAACATCATATAATGAATGACTCTCGATATCAAGAGCGTTGAAGAGGTGCTGTCCAGTATATATTGACTGGCGTTGATTAAAGTGGAATGAGAAATTGAAAGCAATCTGGGTGCACCAGTAATAGCAATGGAAGTTACTGAACGAGATCCCGAGATTTTACAGTGTAACTACGCTTGAATGAAATGTATTATGTGTTGATACATTCGACAGCACCATGTACTACGGCGTTAGTGATCTTGTAATTGATAATTGCACAAGCATATATGTAAGTTCAACACCTTCCATTCATGGATACATGCTCAAAAAAAGGACTTTTCAATGAGAAAATATTTGCACCCTAATAAATCTAGCCCAAATTAGAAAATCTAATCTAAAACTCCAAGACTATTGTTGACCTGGTCATACTGCCGACTTAAAAGTCATTTGATCAATAAATCCATGGTGCAAGGTGGTCAAGTGAAACATGCAGATGTTATGGACCGGCTAATCTAGTCTTTTTTACAATACCATTGATAGAGATGTAAACGGAGCCCGTAAAATATACTTAGTATATTACGGAATACGACAGGAGTCGTTTGCGGCATCGATGCTTACACCTTAGACGCCTTATTGTAGGCCATCTATGTAGGACTTGTACTTAGGCTAGTAGTATTATTTTTTTAAAAAATTTTAAAGGAATTAATAACAAAAATGTGATTATAAAATTGCTAAATAAAAATTACAATAAATACATATAAATTTTGTAAAAAATAAACTTTAATCAAAAATTACTAATAATCATTAACATTTTATATTCCTAAATGCCAAAGCCATACTTTTTTGAAACTCGTACTCAAATTCAAATAAAATATTCTTAAACACTCGCATTTATCTAAACCTGGATGAATAATTATGAATTTTGATTTAGATCTGCTTTATTATAATGATGATAATATCAAAGCTAATAATAAATTGTATCTTGATATATTTTATTCTATTCTATCCAACTATCATAATTATAGTCTATTTTCTATATATACACTAATCTCTCTCATACAAAATAATACAATCCAATCAATTATTCATTCATTCTAAATCATGTTTTCCAGAATCTGCTATTTGTTGTGCTTTCACTGCATCAACTAAATTTACTGGAAGATCATTTGCATTGCTCTCTCCTTGTGATTCACCTTGAAGTCTCATTCCTAATCAATATCAATATCGATATATATATATATATATATATATATCATATAGATGAGTATGAACTTATATTTTAAATCTAAAAAATATTAATTTATAATAATTGGTTTATATATACTTATAAGTTGTGCAATACTAGCTTGAGTTTTTTTCTCAAGTTTTGTTAATTTCTGCTCAACATCACGTTTAAGATCCCAATTAGGTCTTTTTGGTGCCAAATTAAATAAATCCTAAATAAATATTCAATTTATTACTATATCTAAAAATTATAAATAATAAAATATATTGTCACGTACAACTTCTTCTTCTCGTTTAGCTTCTTCTGCTGCTTTTACTTCTTTTGTGATCTCTTCTGCCTTTTTCTCTAATGTTTCTTCAGTTTCATCTGATGTAGCTATATTAATCTTTGATTTTGATTTTATTTCCTCATTTATTGGTGTGTAATTACGAAATTTAAGTGCTAATCTATCAAATTTATTTAATTAGCAAGCAGGTATATCAACTTTAATAATTAATTATGTATAATTATGCTTAATTAATTACTTTTCTGAAGTCGTGTCATCTTCAGTTTCAGCAATCCCTTCCGATATAAATTTTCTTTTTTTTAAAGCTTCAAGACGTTCTTTTCGTTGTCGTGAAGCGTCTTCCATTTATTGAAAATTTTTAGTGTGTCACATACTAACAAATATGGGCGTACTGACATATCATTCATTATGTGACAAATCGTCTTATAAAAAAAAAAAAAATTTTTTTTTGAAAATGCTGACCACTCGAGAATTAAGTGCTGTTAGTGTTGGTGGAGGAATTCTAAATAATTATCCGACTGTGTTCTCTGAAGACTTAAAGTAAGGAGAATAAATACATTTAAAATTAGTGAATTACAAAACTAAAGTTCAACGAGAAGTAAAAAAAGTTACTATAATTATGAATTATTTTTTATTATTTGTAATATTTGTAATTCATATTATTTAATAAAAATGTTTATACTAACTGAAACATATGGCCAAACAAACGCTATAATATATGTCAGATACATATTCTGTTGCGTTTCAAGCTTCATAAAGGTTTATAATGTAAAAACAGGAGAAGTTGTTAAAATCTTATCTGATCCATTAGATCCAAATAGTCACAAAGATGAAATAACTTGTATTATGCTAGTTCCTAATACTAAGGATGAAGTAAATATATATAACTATAGTTTTATATTTTGCTAATTTATCCTGATTTGATCTGATCATACTGATCATAATAATATGTATATAGATATATTCAGCATCTTTAGATGGAACTATAAGGCATTGGAATTATGAAAATAAACAGTTAATAAAGGAATATGAATTAGATGTTCCCATATATCGCATGGTATATTTTCAATCTCGCCCTAATAATTTCTTTGTAACATCCATAAAAGGTATATTTAAAATATAGTAATAAAAATACTAAAGAATCTTATTAATCAAACCTATTTGTGTATTTAGATTATCACACATCATTATTACATTTTTGGTTTAATGGTGAAGAAAAAGATTCAAAAATACTGTTTCATTCAAAATATGCTTGCACTGGTTTATCCAAAAGTTATGGTAGAGCAACTGAGAAATACTTTATTGCATCTTTTCATAAATTATTTGTAGTGGTCTGTTTAGATAAGATTGATGACCCAGATTTACATTTGCAAAAGTAAGTCTATTATGAATAATAACTCATAATGTTTATTGTACATGCACACACATACACATGTACATATGTAATAGATTATAACACATATCTACTTTTTTTCCTTTTGATTATTTTCAAGGTATAAACATCCAAAAGAAATATCTTGTTTAGCAATAGATCCTTATAAGAATTCTGTTGCAATTGGAGATGTGACTGGAAGGATAACACTTTAGTATGTGAACTAGTTTAATATTCATCATACCATAGATTTATTTATCTTTTATTTAATATATATATATAATTGTATTATACAACAGTAATGTATTATCAACTACACTAGTTGAAAATCCCTTTATAGGTGTATTGCACTGGCATTCTCACAAAGTTAATTACTTGGAATTTTCATATGATGGTAAAAGAATAATATAATTTCTAGAATTTTCTAAAATAAATAGAAATTAATATTATACTTTAATGAAACTTTAGGAATATATTTGTTTTCTGTTGGTGAGGAGGGAGTGATAGTAAAATGGCATACAACTACATTTATCAAAAATTTTGTTCCTCGTGTTGGTACAGAAATCAAAAGTATAACCATAAGTTATGATCAAAGTTTATATGGAATCACATTTATTGATAACTCAATCAAAATTATTTCTGGGATTGATTTACAATTGGTACAAGTTATTCAAGGCATTAGACATTGTTAGTAAATGTGTAATAAAACTAGTTGATTTGGTTTAAAATAATATCATTTACTCTTTTTATTGTTATGGTTAACGATTATATTATTACTATTGCATTTTAGATTCAAACAAAATTCTAAAAATGTTTGATTCAAATACAAATCTTATAAGAGAACCACATAAAAATTATTTAGTTTTCAATAATAGATGTGATGGTACTATCCAATTTTATAATGTATACACAGATCGACATGTGATGTTGCATGAAGCAACGACACAAATTAATGTTTCAAGAAATTTTGATGATGAGATTGTGCGGTATCAAGTAGACTGGGTGGCATTTTCCTCAAAAGGCTCATGGATGGCTACGGTAATTTATTGATGTGTGTGTATATTTTTTTTTCGTGATAATTGGGGGATTAACAAAAATATTATTAACTTTAGATTGATTCTCGGAATGATGAGAAAACTACCGCAGAGCAATATCTTAAATTTTGGATATTTGATGTAAATTTACAAAAATACACTCTACATACTCGTATTGATAAACCACACAATGGAAAAATCTTGTCAATAAGTTTTCGTCCCGATTTAAAAAATAGTCATATACATTGTGTGACAACCAGTGAAGATTCCTATCTTAAAATTTGGGAGTTGCAAGAACAAAAAGATAATCGCAAAGACGCTAATTGTAAGCAAAGTTATTTTGATTTTTAATGAGTTAATTTTGTTATATATAATTCAATAACTTTTCATTCTCTTAAAACAATAATTGTTGTAAACTTTAATATTATTTAGTTTTTTGGAAACTTTATTTTAGTGAAAAGCGTGGAGATACAAAACTAGAAAAGGCTGCTTTTTCAAATGATGGATCAATTTTGGCTGTTTCTTGTGGGCTTTTGATAACATTACGCGATCCATTTAAATTCTATAAAATAACCAAATATATATCACCTCTCACTGGAAATAAGATCAAATGCTTTAATTTTGTCAATAATAGTCCTTACTTTGTTGTTATAACTGCTAACTATTTACAAGTTTGGAATATTAAAACGGTATCATGTAAGCATTTTTTAAGACCATTTTATGGGCTTATCTGCAATAAAATAACTTCATCATGTTTTTTAACAAACTTTAATTATGTTTCTCTAAAGTGTTCTGGAGTAAGCCTTTTACTGTTGAGAGACTCGTTGTAGATTCAGAAAATCCACAATTTGCTGTTGTCTATATGAATGATAAATTAAGTATGTGTGTTTAGTTTATTATTATTATGATAGAAGAATTATTGTTAATTGTAATAATTATTTTCAATTTTAGAACATGAAATTAGAATATATGATCCGTTAATTCTTTGTGGGGATAATCCAATTGCCGTGTATACATTACATGATGAATTGATATATGACATTATTTATTTCCCTATTGTTTCACAGAAAGGTAGTTATCTTGTTTATTTAAACCAGGACATGGAGTTAAAGACTATTGAAGATTCAAAGAAATCATCGAAACATTTAGTAGAGGTGATTGATTGATTTATTTTTGATTTTTTCGAATTATCAACTTGTTTTATATTTTAATTATTATTGTTCCTCCCAAAATATAAATATTTAACCAGTCTGAAGCAAATTTGAGCGAAGAAGAAAATAAGAAAATAACAAGATCAAAAAAACGACATCGATCTATTAAATAAATAAACTAACATATATAAACATAACAATATTTAATAATAATAATAAATGTTAATGTTGATACAAGAAAAAAAATTTTCTCATGGGTAATAAATAACTAATTGTATGAAAAAATATTCTCAAGCCAAATATCCAATTGATTCATTGAATTTCCATTCATTATTCCAAAATCTATTAATAACGATTATAATTGGTAACGGGAATGAATAATAATAACAATATTAATACAATATAAATGTACATACCCAGCACCAAGTACACCACCAGCACCTTTCCATCTTGCATCTTTACTTATAATAATCCAATCAGGCACAGGGACTCCAGTTCTTTTAGGAAATAATTTTAAAATTTGATCATAACCTATTGCATCTAATCCTGCTATAATCAATGCCAGGTTATTATTTTGATACGGATGTAAAAACAATATACCTTATAATCCACCCCCCAAGAAAATAATAAATTTATTTATCAATACTTGTTGAAAATTTTTATAATTAAAAAAAAATTCTTTTTTACCTATTCCAGATTCTTTAAATATTTTATTTTGAATCCTAAAAGTCCCATCTCGGTTGAACTTTACTTTTTTAAAAAAAAAATTTTTTTTTAAAATGTATGAGAAAATAAATATATAAATACATGTATTTTATTAATAATGAAATCACCTTCACTTTCTCTCTCCTTTAAAATTCTTCTTGTAACCTTATTTTCTAATTCACCTCCCAACAAGATTAAATTCCCTTCAAGAGACATTTTTTCCTCCCACGCATCACTATCATGATCATCATCATCTATAATATTATAATCAAATAATATTTCTGAATCGCCTCTTCCATAAAGATACCAACTACTAGATATTTCTTTAGCCATATTTAAAAACATTTTGGTGTCATTATTTTTATTTTTAGAAGTTCCAATTATTATTTTTAATGATGAATTTGATTCAAGAATTTGATGAATTGGCCCATAAGTTTGACAATTTCTTTCGCATTTTAACCAAGTCTCATCATTTGAAAACTAATAAATAATGGTAGTGGTAGTAATAGTGATAATAAAATTAATTAATTGATCATTTTTTCAAAACATAATTTATTATTATTATAACTATATTATTACCTCCCAACAATTATTATTATTATTATTTCTTATAAACCATCCATTAAAATCATAACTTGTCATATTAAATTTGCATTCATCATCAATAATGATTATTGACGAATTTCTAATTAAATCCTTAGATTTGAAGTTTTCTAAAAATTTGAATCTAAGAATATTTGTAGTTTGAAGTTTCCAAATAAATTTTTCATCTTCACCTTGGTTTATTTCAACTTCTATTTTCCCTAAACTGAAAATAATAAAACTTGTTTAGAAAATTTTAAAATAGTAAATAATCAAATAATCAAATGAATAGAAATTACCGATAAGGTACAATCAATTGATCGACTTTAATTCCAAATTTACTGCCAAAACTTGCTGGATTCATTAAAGTTATAGTAAATTTTTTTGGAAATATGATACCATTACTATTATTACTGTTGTTCTCAATATCGTTGTTAGATTCAGTATTACTTAATAGATGTTGATCTAAAAAATTTTGCATAACCGTGTCGGACATTACATTATCAAACCAGTGACCTTGATTGGCAATTTCTGAAAGCCTTGATAATGACAAATTAAATTAAATAGTTATATCATTGATAAATAGTTAATCAATATATTGGCTAATTATCATATTATATAATCAATCGTACCTAATAGCATTCGTATTGTTAGAATGTTCATTCACCAGTCTCACTAGCCTTCTAGAATGAATTGGATGAACAATATCATCATCACCACCAACTCTTGCTAATATTGGAATATCTACCTAACATTGATAATAATAAATAAATATTGATAACTAACTTAAAGATATAAATCAATAACATCTATTGATATATATATATATTTATTATTATTATTACCATGTTTGATGCATATAAATCATTATTAAACTCTGTAATTGATGATTCTAAAATCTTTTATATACAAAAAAATTTGTTAGAAATAACTTAATATGAATGAATATGAATTATAAATATTACCCCTTTAAGAATTGGGTCAATATAAGCATCACTATTCCAATAATAAGGAACATAATATTGAATTTTCATATATCCTGCAACAGGTGTACCTAAAATAATAAATAAATAAATAAATAAATAAAAATTTAGATCATTCCAAATAAAATAAAAAAGAAAATTACCTGCAATAATAGAATCAGGATAATGTGAAATATAAAACCAAGCACCTTGTCCGCCATTTGAATGGCCTAAAGATTTATTTCAATTTTTTAATGTATTGTTACCAATATATATATATATATATGTAAGTATAAATTTTATACCTGCAATAAACAATCTATTTAGGTCAGGTAAATATAATGAACGTTTGTCTTTTGGTACTCCTGGCATTAATTCTTTCAAATTAAATATTGCAAAATCAATATTTTTCTTGCTGGGACCATGCCAATCATAACCCCATGGAGTTCTTCCAGTTGGAAGAACAATCTACAAATTTGCATTTGATCAGTTATAAAAAGTTTATCATATAATTTAATTTGATTCTAGTTAGTTAATAAATATACCCAAGCATTTTTTTGCTGTGGATAAGCATTCAACCAAAATTTTGTATTAGCTTCTACACCTGCACCATGAAATGCCACCAAAATTGGGCATTTGGCATTTTCAACTGGTAAAATAGGTGGCATAGCCATTGCTTTAGTATCAACAGAAATTTTCAATTAATTTCTAATTTAACTATTTGAATTAATGTAGAATATAAATAATCTAGATATTTTTTACCATATTGTATGGAACCATCAAAGTCTTCAAAAGTGAATTTATAAAATTCTTGAAAATTCTTGGGTTCTATAATTATTAAATCACTAACTTTAACCCAATGATTGACTTTTCCTCTAGATTTTGATGATACAATAAATTTTAATCTAAAAGATATTGCTTTTTTTTCTTGGATCTCATCAATTTTCAATCTAATTTTAAGATTACGCTGTTGTGATGGAGCAAGGTTTATTATTGGATTGGATTCCAATGAATTCAAATCACTAGAAATCAATATTGCTGTCATCTAAAAACATACAAATATATAGATATATAACAATACAGAAATACTTAGTGTATACTTCTATATAAAACAAGGTACGATACCTATAATATGTATATATATATTGACCTTAACATTGCTATCAACAACTGAAACATTTTTAATTATTGCCCAAGAATGTTCCAAAGTGTTTAATATAGCCACACTCATATATTCTCCAGTTAAATTACTGCCAACTAAATCAGGAACAACAATAGTATTGTCCAATAATTTGACGCCAAAATCTGACAAAATATTTAATCTTCTCGTAACACATTGAAATTTTATATCTGGAGGTAACCGTCCACCAAATATTCGAGTTTCATTGACAATACGAATATTTATTATATGCTCGCCAGGTTTAAGATATATAACATGCCATGATGTTTTGTACTCATACCAATCACCAAACAACCTTTCTCCGTCTATATAGAAGTCACCAATATTATAACATTGAATTAAAATCGGTATTTTGCTAAAAATTGATGAGCCATCATTATCATCTTCTTTGGCGATTGTGAAAAAACCTCTTGCCCACAGTTGAGATTGATTAATCGTCCAACCAAATGGAATTCTATTAAAATTCCATCTAATAATAGTAGTAGCAGTAATTTACATTTTAGTAAAATGGAAATAAATGAACGGATTATTGTTAAATTTTTTTTTTAAATATTACCTTATATTCTTTATATATATTGGACCAACTGATCCATCCGATGATGTATTAATCTTTGACCAAGTGATTTTACCATTATCTGCAAGTTCAGATGGATACGATTCATTTTCTGAATATTCAATTTTAGAAAAACCGCCTGAAATATACATACATATACATTACTATTTATTTATTAATCATGTATTATAAAAAAGTTGCTATAATAACCATATGCTTCAAGAGGATCTGCACCAAAATCTTGTTCACGTGTTCCTGTTGGAAATGGTCCTAAAACCTGAAAAAATTTTTAATCAAAAAGTATCTATCATCCATCCACTAAGAAATTAGTAAATACTATAAAACAAACCATCCATGACTTTGGTGTTAAATCCATATCTAAGTTAGATTTCAAACCTGTTTAATAAGTATATGGTGACATTTTTCATTTAAAAATAGATTTACGCAATCTGCATACCAAACAAATTGAACATTATTGGTATTACAAAGAATTTCAGGGTCCAAAATTTGTAATGTGATTACACAGTAAGTCTCGGTATAGCGGACCTCGGTATAGCGGATGTCTAATAAAACTCTCGGTTTAACGGATCAAAGCT